TTCGGATTAGTAATGCCATTTGCTTCATTCATCTGGGTTTTAGTATTTTGTTGGGTTCATTATCTATGGTCTATTATTATTTAGAAAATTTAGATCATAAACTCTGAATTTGGATCATTGGTTTAGGTGATTGTTTGTTTGATATGTGGATTGTTAAATTTTTTGCCCACCAAGTGTTTGATTCTATGTTCAAGTGACAAATTTATCAGAAACAATTGGAACATGGAGTGTTTGAATCTGTTTCAATCTGCTTTCACAATTGAACATGGTCACCAATATATGTACACCATTGTAACTCTGTTACAGAGTATTGTGATTTTATTGAGAGATAGACATTAATGAAGATCATTAGAGAGATAGACATTAATAGCAAATCAAACCACTGCATAATTAGCCAAGCCCCATGGAACATGGTCATCAAAAATTTGGATATAATCTCACCATTGTGTTTGTTTGTATGCATTTATTGATGAGATATGTTGTGGTTAAATTCTCATTCGTTGATGAATCCCCATATATTTTATTCATATTTAGTTGGAACTAGGTGGATTGAAGACAATTTTATGCTCTAACTCACTCAGATTCTTGTACTTATTTGAATGTGTTGGTTAGTTTAATCATATGAAAATAAGTCAATTTTGGGCATTCTGCATATTGAAGACCCATTTCTACTACTTGGTCTAAACTTGAGCACATCTAATTCAACAAGCTGCTGTGAGAGCTCGACTGAGTCCATTTCAGACAATTTTAATAATTTAAATTATTTATTATGCAAGGCTCATTGACTACTATTAAAAAAAATTACGTTAATCGAATATTTGTAGTAATATGGTCAAATGATATATATTTTTTAGTTATGCGTTAATGATTTTGACTGCTAAGTTATGCTTGAGAAAATACCAAATTTTGTTGCATCTTAGATTAATGATTGATAGTTGTGGATTTACTTATAGATCACTTAATGATTTTTAGCCTCCTACTATATTTGATTTTTAGCTTCCTACTATATTTGAAGGTGCGATTATTACAATGTTTTATAAGACGTGGGCAATGGGTGTATTGGAAAATGTTCTTGCATCTTTCCATTCCATTTCTCGATTTTCTGATTGCATTACTACATTTGCATTATTTTGCAGTTGGTGTCTTCAGAAAGAAAGGTACCAAACTATATGAAGCAAGCTTGAAGGATGAGAAGCGTTTAGATCAATGGCTTCATTGTTAAATTAAGCAAGCTCTCTTGATAGAGATTAGGACACAAAGTAAGATCCATAATGGCCAGTTGGTAAGGGAACATTGATAAAACTAATCCACCAAAGGGGTTGTTAAGGAGCACACTTTTTCATGAACAGAGCAGCCTGTGATTATCATACCCAATTCAATTCTACACTGATTACCTTCAAGAATGGGACCTTGGCCATATTCATAGATTTCAAAATTCTTTTATTGCTACATTTGGAATAATATTTTGCTTCTTTTATTTGGCACCTTTGTATTGTTATTGTTATTGTTGTTTTTATTTTTAATTTAGATTTATTGAGGTATAGTCTTATAACAAGAGCTTTAAATTTATATCTCAGTACAACAAATTAAGATTTATATATATATATATCAGATATCTCTCTGATCTAATCTGTCTCCCTCACTCTCTCATCTCATCAGTCTCACTCTGGTTTTGAATCTCTGCACCGATCGACTCACAGGTAAGCCCCTCTCTCTCTCTCTCCCTGATCTCTCATCTCTGCACCGATCGAACAGATCTGTTCTGTTTGTTTGTTTTGGACCAACAGATCTGTTCTGTTTGTTTTGGAATCTGTGTGTTTGTTTTGTTTTGGAATCTGATCTGTTCTGTTTATTTTATTCTGCACCAATCACTCTCTGTGTGTTTGTTCTTAAGGAATTTGTTGAATCTGTGTGTATGTATGTTAATCAGATTCATGTTGATTTTGTTGAATTTGTTCTTAAGAAATTTGTGTATGTATGTATGTATGTTAAGAAATTTGTTTGAATTTGTTCTTAAGAATTTTTGTTGAATCTGTGTATGTATCTACTTTCTTTTCTGGATTGGAATCCGACTAAATTGCCCATGGCCTGAGTTGAGGAGGTATGGGTCTCAAAAGTAGCTACTTTCTTTTCTCCAAGGTAACACTGTACTTCACTGAAATTTTTACATGTTGAAGTTGTTTATGTATTATTTGTTGAACATGGAGTGAAAGCATTTGTTGGGTAAATCTTACTGAGCAGTTAATTGATTTTACAACTGTTTTTACTGTGACAGAGAAATATGAACCTGTTCATGCAAAGTGGACAACAGAACGATGTACTATATGTGGATGGGTTGAGGATTGGGACTATAACAATATTGTTATTTGCAACAGGTGTTACTATTCTTCATGAATCTTTATGCTTAATCATCACATTTTATGCATTTGAATTACAATTTATTTGCTGAGATAAGATAGTACCTGATTTAGGAACTTTAGTAGAATCATCTGAGTCAATTTTATTTTTCATATATATGATTTTCATTCAAAGATGATAAACATTAATTTTTTAGGTTTAAAGTAGGAGGGATTAATATGTATAAATTTATATTGTATCCAAATTTATTTTTTCAAACTTATTATGTGTGTGTCCACCTAGGTGTCCAAAGTGTGCCTGGGTCAATTGGTGGGGGGTTACTTTCTAAATTCTGTTTCTACCTCACTTGAATTTGCTTAACTGTAATTTGTTGTGAAATGGACTTATGAATTGATATAATATTTCCTTTTTAGAGCCCTCATTTCCATGTGCTTCTTTTTTTGTATTAATAAATCTAAACTTTTGTTTGTTTTTCTCTTTGAAGTTACGATATCCTTTAAATCATTCAAGAGGATAAAGGTTCAGGTTGTTTTTTCTTTTTCCAAATGTTTAAGCTCCCTTATTGGGCCCATATCTAGTATTCTTTTCCTGATGTCAGAATATTTGTTTTTGTAGGATTATGGGGGGTCAATAAAGAGGTGGTCCCTAAGAAGAAAAATATTAACGATGCAGGAAGCCAACTTGCACCCCCATTAGGAGAATTGATGAAGATGCTCTTTAATGCATACATGTTATGACATATTTACTATTTATTCAATTTACTCTGCATTTTAATTTTTAGAGAATGTCTTTGCAAGAACTTTTTAACTATTGCAGAGCTGCAATGATGGAATTTGAGATCAATATGTCGGAAATGCCACTTGAAAAATTGAGTAAAAGTAATATCCAAAAAGATACTTTTCTCTAGACTCTCCTTCTCTTTTAGTAAATCTAAACAATGACTTTAGTGGAGATGCAGAAGTGATATCATTGTCGTGTTGTCATACTTGTTCGTTTATTTAGCTGATGAAGTTATAATTTCTAATGTGCTTCCTTAATATCTTCTCCAGGTCTTCCTTAATATCGTACTCCTCGCCACTAGGTTAATTTCCATAACTGATTGATTCCTTAATATCTAATGTGTTGTCATAACAATAGCACTTCATATAATAGAATGAACACTTCATATAATAGAATAAAGGAAAAGATATATTATAATCTAGGCGTTTGTCTCTTATAAATCCTTCTTTTTGGCTCTCTTGATAGAGATTAGGACACAAAGTAAGATCCATAATGGCCAGTTGGTAAGGGAACATTGATAAAACTAATCCACCAAAGGGGTTGTTAAGGAGCACACTTTTTCATGAACAGAGCAGCCTGTGATTATCATACCCAATTCAATTCTACACTGATTACCTTCAAGAATGGGACCTTGGCCATATTCATAGATTTCAAAATTCTTTTATTGCTACATTTGGAATAATATTTTGCTTCTTTTATTGGCACCTTAGTATTGTTATTGTTATTGTTGTTTTTATTTTTAATTTAAATTTATTGAGGTATAGTCTTATAACAAGAGCTTTAAATTTATATCTCAGTACAACAAATTAAGAACTTCAGACAAAAATTTAGGGATGAAATATTTTAGTTGTTAAAAATGTCATATTTTTAGGAGAATGGCTCTTCCCCATATCACTATTTTTTGTACTTGACTATACTTTATTTTGGGGCCTCATTCCGGATCCACAGCACTATTCTTCTTGTAAATCTCATGCTGAAAATCGTTTGTGCAAAAAATAAATTTCATTAGATATCAATAAATAGATGAAAAAATCATATTTGTTTTTAATAAAATAAGTGGTTTAAATTTAAACACATAGTTGTTGTCCATTTAAATATATATATATATATAATTTGTTCACGTATCTAATGATATTCGATGAAGCTAATTTTTTGTACATACATTTTTACTATGAGATTTACAAGATGAATGGTTTGAATTATCATTGTGGACCCGAAATGAAGCCAATAAAATAGAGTATGATGAAATATGGAGGATAGTAGTGACATGGAAAAGAGTCATCCCCTATTTTTAAGTGAGAAAATTGCACAATACTATTCTTTTGGGACTAAAATTTTCATTTACAAAAGTAAATGTTTTTTACAATAAATTATTTTGTTCCTAAAAGTGTATTTATTAGCGGCATTTTTAAAAAAAAAAATTCATTAAGTCTTTTTTTAACATTTTAAGACGGTCTTTTCATGTTGACTCATATGATAATTAGTGGTCTCCTAATATTTTTTGCTACAAATTTTTTTCCTTTTAGAAATGAAAAAAAAGTTAGCCTCTAAGACATTTATTGTGATACCTTAAATTTGAAATCCTACGTAATTTTCAATTGCAAGCTAGACTACATTAATTGTTGAAAGGAAAAGACTCACAATATGTCTGACCCAGATATATATAGTTGAAGAGGTTGTGATCCACTGAACACCCATTATCTAAAATGACTCATATTTCTAAGTTCTCACTGATCCAAATTAGATGTTTATTTAGGCCTCTGATTATTTGGGCTGAATTTGAAAATTAAAAAAAAAAAAAAAAACATAATTGGTGTCTTGAGCCTTGCATTGGGTTTGGTCTAAAGTCCAGAACTACATAAATGTGGGCTTTCATTTTCATTCTGGGCCTTGGTCAAAGTTAGATTTGCATCCACAAAAATGAATTGACATTTCGCCAAAGCTGTGAATATCAACCAGCCCTCATTGGTAACTGGCAATTTGGTTTCAATTGGGGCAGTTTCAGTGCTTTTAACATTATTGGTACTATTGCTTACTAGTTAGGATATTGAAATGGACGACGCTCTGATAATAGTTGCAAACAAAACTTTCAATATCAGAATGAATTTATTTTTGAAATTCATGTCCTTGAATCTTAGAGGTTGAATGTTTTACATTAGAGTCAATGGGGCTATAGCACTCTTAAATAGGGATGGACATAGGTTGGGTTTGGCGTGGATTTTTAATAACCTAACCCGCTCCCTATCATATTGGGAGTGGGACAAATCAAGGGGTGATGGGATGGGACTAGAGTGGGAGAGGGATTAAAATATATATCACGTGTTAGCCTCCTACTATATTTGATTTTTAGCCTCTTACTATATTTGAAGGTGCGATTATTACAATGTGGGTGTTTTGGAAAATGTTCTTGCATCTTTCCATTCCATTTCTCGATTTTCTGATTGCATTACTACATTTGCATTATTTTGCAGTTGGTGTCTTCAGAAAGAAGGGTACCAAACTATATGAAGCAAGCTTGAAGGATGAGAAGCGTTTAGATCAATGGCTTCATTGTTAAATTAAGCAAGTGTTTTAGTAAATAAATTTAATTTTCCCATCATGTTTACACCTTCAAAATATTCTGTAAATGACATTTGATGTAGAATTTTTTGTACAGAGGACATCTTTTTTGTATGATTTTGTATTTGTATGGAATTATTATTTTGGGTTGGATAATTCAGATTTGTATAGAATTTGATGTTAAAAGATCAAATTTTTGTATTGTTGAAACGAAATAGAAATAGATGTATGTATTATTTTGTTTAAATATAGGGTGCAGGTTGCACGAAATAAATACAGGTTGTGAAGAAATTAATTATAATAAAAAAAAACACAAAATAAAGTTTTTTCCATTAAATGTTTAGTAGCGAAAAAAAAAAAGAAGTGAATTTGTTAGTGACTAACCAATTGGTAGCCAAAAAGGAAATCAATATTTTTAGTGACCAAATATTTGGTAGCCATAAAGAACCCAAAGATTTGTGGTGACTAAAAATTTAGTAGCTAAAAATATAATGAAGACTTTCGGCTACCAAATGGTTAGTAGCCAAAAGTTTAATAAAATGAAAAATAATTTTTTTGGCGACTAAATTCTTTAGTCCCTAAATGTAGTAATGTTGTGACTAAAACTTATCTACGACAAAAAGTTTTAGTCGCTGAAAATTTAATTAATTTTATTTGAACACTTTTGGCGACTAAATATTTAGTCGTCAAAATATCCCCTTTCCCGACTACTCAAAGTTTCGTAGCCAAATGCTTACTTTTGGCTACTAATATTTTAGTCGCCAAAACATAACCTTTGCCGACCAACGAAAATTTAGTAGCCAAAACGTTCACTTTCAGCGACCAAAAATAGTTTAGTCGCCAATACTATCGCCGACAGGGTATAGGCGACGAGTTTGGCGACAAAATATTTTAGTCGCTAAATGGGTTCGGCGACTAAATATTGGACTTTTGGCGACCAATATTTTGGTAGCCAAAAGTGACATTTCTTGTAGTGATAGAAGTTAAATGCTACGCGTGCTATCTATATATATATATATATATTCACGCTTAAAATGCTAGTGCTAATAAGTAAATAGTCCAAGTACTATGGGAAAATAGTTAGGTATTCTCATGGCATGTTTGATTGATAGGATTAGAGTATGAGACTTGAATAATTAATTCTAGAGTCTAATAATCTTGTGCTTATTTTAAAATTTTATTTCAGGATTATTAATCCAATGGATAATTAATCCAACAAATTTATAGAATTATTAGTGATGGAGAAAGGATGGGATTATATATCTTGACTTGGGAAATATAATAAAAAGACTGTTTTACTCTTAACTAAAAATTAAAACACTTATATTTTTATATAATTTTATATTTTAGAAGGCTAAAATTTTTTTAAAAATTTTGAAACTATTTTTTGATATTTATTTTATCAAATTAGTTTATATTTAAAAAAAATTAAAAAAGAAAAACCAAACATGGCCTTTGTATTTTTATTTTGCTTTTATTTATTTATTTATTTATAATTTTTTTCAAAACTACGTTTATGAAATTTTTTTGATAAAGTAAAGATTGTGAAGAAACATTGATGGAGGATAAAATTAGAAAAGAAGATAAATATAGTTGTAATCAAACAATTCATATGTTTTCTTATCCAATGCAAATCAAACAATGGATAATGGGATAATTTATCTTACTAATCCAATTTAATATTGAATACCACAATAATTTGATAGGATTATTAATACCTTCAGGGCATGTTTGTATGGACGGACTGGATAATGGGGGATTGTAATCTATCAAACTCTTAGAGCATCTCCAATGCACTAGGTATATAATACTTGTTAGTTAAAATGCCTAGTGTGATTCATTTTTTTCAATTCCAAGCATCTCCAATGCACTAGGTATATAATACTTGTTAGTTAAAATGCCTAGTGTGATTCATTTTTTTCAATTCCAATGCACTAGGCATATGATTAGGCATTTTGGCTCAACTCATATTCACTAGCTACATGTAGCTAGCCTTCAACGCTAGGCAAAATGTATTAAATCATTAGGATCATTTCCCTCCATCTTTGTTGTTGACGTGGCATTCTATAAAATTAATAGTATTTGTATAAATAGCTAAAATAAAAAGCATGGTTGGAGTAAAAACATAAAACAGTTGATAGGCAAAATAAAATATATACTTTATAGTAATATTTAGATAGGTAAAATGCCTACTACCATTGGAGATGCTCTCACTAGCTACATGTAGCTAGCCTTCAACGCTAGGCAAAATGTATTAAATCATTAGGATCATTTCCCTCCATCTTTGTTGTTGACGTGGCATTCTATAAAATTAATAGTATTTGTATAAATAGCTAAAATAAAAAGCATGGTTGGAGTAAAAACATAAAACAGTTGATAGGCAAAATAAAATATATACTTTATAGTAATATTTAGATAGGTAAAATGCCTACTACCATTGGAGATGCTCTTAGTCCTGTGATACATTGTTCCTGGATACATTGTC